GGGTGGGCAAAAAACTTAACAGATGAAACAAAAAAGAAAGCAAAGGAGCATCACAATAACAAAAAATAGAAAAACAGCACTAGATCATAATTACAAACAGAAAGTATGGCTTTTTACGGCGGTTCTAAATTGAGCAAACAGATGACAAGGTGACATGGGTGGGAAGGTCGTTCGAGTCTTGCGCTGCCTGAGGGAAAAATGACTTCCGGAAGGTCTTTGTTTTTGGGCGTAGGGATGAACTGTGTTGGGATGAGAATGGTGCGATGTTCGATGTGTATGTCTGCTGAAAGCATTGCCTCGTGGCAAGGAATGAAACAACTTATGATACAGGCACAAGCATGAAACTTTACGGTGAGAGGCAAGATGAGGAAGATTAAGCTGAGATTTTACTGCTTACAAACCTTCGCTTTTCGTGTATTTTGAGATAACGAATTCGGAAGCACGGTTCTGAGTGGATTCGCGCATTGTGGAAAGTTTAGCTTGATGCGGATATAAAATGGCATTAGCAGACTTCAACTTAGGCCTGACGATTGTTTTAAAATGCATTAGTTTATTAGCAGCTGGTGCCGAGTCAAGGTTGCAACGAAAGTATCCAAGAACTCGATTAGCTGTGTTAGTGATGCCAATTATATGTAAGGTTCATGCTGGATTATATAAGATATGAACACTTAAGTATTTGGTACTGTTGGTAGTGGCTATGCGGTATTTGTGTGGAGTGTCTTAGCGTTGTGGTCTTTACGTTATTGAGAGGTTATCAGGAAAGTTTTGAACCGACATTAACCGATCCTCACAGCAGTCCTGCATAGTGTTAAAATCTGACTCTAAGACGAAAAAATGTGAGACAATATTTAAAAAGTGATACAACACGCAATCATAGGCGACTATTCTAATATTAGAGGTGATGTTACGTGGCATGTTTTTAACGTAAACTAAATAGAGGAGAGGACCTAGTCAGTACCTTGTGGAATTCCAGAGTGAACAGGAGAAAGAGGAAACCAGCAGGAGTTAGAGACAACAAAATGCTGGCGATGGGTTAAAAATTTGCGAATCCTATTCAGCACGGAGGGGTCTAAGTTCAGGCATGAAAGTTCAAGCAGTAAGAGGGGATAAAAAACCTTAGACGTTTTTTTTTTAAATCAGGAAATATAGAATCAATGGGTATTTTATTATCAAGGTTAGAGTGAATTTTATGCAAAAAAGGCTAAGTGGGTTTCATATGAATGACCACGACGAAAACTATGCTGATTGGGTTGAAAAAAAATATTAGTAGAAAAAAAAAACGCACTACTTCAGAGTGCACTATATACATGCTCCACTACTTTGCAACGTAAACTGGTGATGAATATGGAATAGTAACTGTAAGGAGACGACTGATTACCTTTTTTGAAGACAGGGACGACCTTCCTTATCCACCAGTCCTCTGCAATTGAACCTGAAATAAACTAGTGTCCATGGTCACTAATGTTGACTTTTAAAAGTCCATGTCGGAGACTCTCAGACCGCAGCATGAAGAACCACACACCACGAGCAGTAGCTGATAGACGTTAGACTGCTGAGGGAGCGCTGCGAAAAACACCACCACCAGCACCCTCATCAACGCACCGGCCATAAATAGGTAGTGAAAAGCGTAATCTCTACGATTCAAACCGAGCCATATGCAAGCGAATGTGCATAAGCCCTCCTTTTTTGCTGCTCCTTAGGCACGGTTTCCTGAAAATGAAGAACCTGGCAATGCTTTTCCTTCAATACAACTTTGTTTCAGAAAAATAGAAAGATCGTCAAAACTAACTGCGGGCACAAAGAGAATGATGTTTGAGTTACTTTGGAGTGCTGCAACTGGCAGTTTGAGTGCAAGCGAGCATCGCATGACATCGAGTTTGAGTCAAAACTAGCTGCGACACTCGTTCTCGCACGTCTAAATGCGTTTTAAACTTGGACATACACATGATGCCAAAGCGATAAAGTGCATACATGAGCAATCTATCTTGCGATCAGTGGTGCGAAGATCGCTTTATCCGGCATGACAAGCCCTGGTGATTTTCGGCTTTACAGTTGCATTCTGAATCAATCTCTCCCTTCCTGTGCGTTGAGCTCTTTTATTACGCATGCAAAAATGTTTTCTTTGCGGCTTTCATCCGTTTATATATAATGCAAATGCGGGTATATGCGTGTACACTTTTACGGTGTACAACAAAAGGCGAAACCGAGACTCCTAGAGATAGCTCCAGAAATGACGGAAAGCAACAGCAAGAAAAACTGATTGTAGTCACGATCAGTGTGTGTATACTTGCATGAGGTACGTGTTCGCATTTCGTAGTTAAAGCCAGAATTTAGAGCCTTCAATGCCCTATGTGCGTAATGCTGTGCCGCTTCAGATTATTGGTGGTCGCGGCGTATGTGATGTCCGTGGCACGCATCACTTGCCTACTACTGGTTGGTGTGCACCGAGGTCAAAGCTCGGTTCAGCTTCGTAATCCAATTTGCCACGGTTTTTCGACAAAGCTACTCAAAACAATAACAGACCTACTTTATCAGTCTCTCTCATGCGGACGGCTGTGGAGAACGCGAGTAATTTGCTTAATAAACACGTTCGCAACGGCCCGTATCCAGCGCTCTCAGCATTCTATTTCGTGAAAACTGCCTAAATCAGTAATACTGATGACGTTAACGTCCGTAGCCATTCTAAAAGCAACATTATAGCGTCCACTGGAGTCTTTTTTTTTCGTAGAGCGTGGAGCTATTGCGTCTGCGGTTGTGTTCGCCGTTGTTCTGGCGAGTGAACCAGCAAGCACTGCACGATCGTTCAGTGACACGACCGATTAGAGAAATTCGTAGCTTTTTTCTAATCGTTCAATGCGCACCTATATTTACATCAATCGTTGTTTCATATGCTGTAGTTGCACTTGGTTGCGCAGCAAACTGTGCAGGAGAGTCGGGCTTTTCAATACCCTAAACTGCGTCGACAGGTGGCTCTGCGTATCCACAAAACTCCAGAGTCGGAAGTCTATGCTATGGCAACCGTCTCGCAGTATCGGTTGAGATGATTGGCGCACACCACGATACAACAATTTCCAATGAAAGACCGTAGCAAGGGGCCAAGAAAATCAATTTCAAACTCGTTCAAAAAGAGTTCTTGGAGGCGGAAGAGGATGTAGTTGACCAGGAGGGGTACTTGTAGGACACTTGTGACGTTCACCTTCAGTGCAGCTACACACGTGTGAATGTGTAGTGCGACGCTATTTAGGCCTGTAAAACCTTTCGTGAAGGCGGTAGAGAGTCCTCGTTGCTCCTAGTTGAGCGGATGTTGAAGCACCACGCATAGCTTTTAAAATAGAAACGTGGGGCACCTCTGGCTCTACCAGAAGATACCTCGAGCATGTAGTAAAATACTTCTTTTGGTACAGTAGCCCATCGCGAATGCAAAAACGAGTGGCCGATGATTTTCGTCCACTAGCAAGAAGATGCTGTAAAACACTGTCCTTGTGCTGTTCGGTCCTAAATGCATTCTTGTCAGGCAATCCTGACTCCTATGATGCGATGTACTCATTGAAGTTTTCCGTATCGCACTCCGTCGTGGGAAGTGGCAGCCACGAAAAGGAATCGGCGTGACCACTTTTACATACAACTGTAAAGTCGTACTCCTGTAGACGAAGTGCCCAACGTGAAAGTCAGCCGGATGAATACTGTATATTGACGAGCTAGCACAGAAAATGGTGGGCTGTCACGATCGTGAAGAAGCGTTTGTAGAGGTACGGCCTGAAGCGTTGTACTGTGAAAACCACTGCAAGGCAGTCCTGTTCAGTAATGGTGTAGTGGCGCTCAGACTTGCTAAGGTAGCAACTCGAATATGCCACGACACGTTCTTTGATATCCACGCGCTGAACCAAAACAGCACCGACTTCAACGGCGCTAGCATTCCAGTGCACATCTATGAGAGCCATAGGGTCAAAATGTCGAAGAATCATATGCGACGTCAATCTGAACTAGCGTTCTCAAAAACTGACGCGCATTCTGGGGTACAGTCAAACCGTATGCAATTTTGAAGCAGTTACATCAGTGGGTACACGATGTTAGCGAGTGCAGGAATGAAGCCATAGAAGTAAGAGCATAGTCCCAGAAAGCTCCGTAGTTCTTTAACGGAGCGAGGCTGGTTGAAGGCTTTCACTGCGGCCGTGTTCGCTGCGTCAGATCACATCCCCTCTTTGTCTACCAAGTGGCTTAGAACAAGTGGGTGGTGCTCTCTGAAATGGCATTTTATTCAGTTAACACCAAATGTGCTTTGCTCAGGCAATCTAGGACAAGCTAGAGACATGTAATGTGCTCTCTGATTACAACGTCAGCCAAATATCACATGTAGGCTTCCTATTTGAAACCTCGCAAGATGCTGTCTATAAAGCGCTCGAACGTGGCTGGTGCATTACACTACCCGAATGACATCATATTCAATTCGAAAAGTTCGTCGGGTGGGGCGAACGTCGTTTTGTCTTTTCTGCCTAGTGCATTGGTATTTGCTAATACCCTGACTTCAGGTCGACAAACGAAAAGTAGGATGCCGATGAAAGGCAATCGATAGCGTCATCAATCTGGGGAAGAGGATGTATGTCCTTTTTAGTAACAGCATTGAGGCGGTGGTAATCAACGCGAAATGCATGCAAGCCGTCTTTCTTTTTAACCAAGATAACCTGGGCTGCCCACGGACTGCACAATTCTTGGATGGCCTTTTTCTTTAGCATGTCAATAACTTTTTCATTTATAACCTTGTGCCTTGGAGGGGACCCACATCGTGGTTTGTGTCAGCGAGGTTTACTAGAGCATGTATCAATGTGGTGCTGTATACGAGAAAGAGGAAATAATGGTGGATCCTGCTTCTGGGCAAAGTCGAATACTCTAGGTTGTTTGATTAGAATACTCGCCGATTCACGACGCTGGGTCATACCTAGCTCTTTGTCGATCATAGACGTAATAGAGAAGTCAGTCATGTGCACATCCTCTAAACTAAGCTCATCTGCGAAATTGTGGCCCTCTTCAAGGATGACAAGAAAAAATACCTGCTGTTCACGAATTCCCGCAAGCTTCAGACCCTCCGGCAGTATCATGGGTTCATCGAAGCAGTTGATGGCCATACGATGCTGCGCCCTTGGACAATTGACAGCGTACAAAAAGGTATCACAATATTCCAATTTATGGAACTGACGTGTATCGGGTCGACCGTAGCATCAAATAACTCTTGAAGTGCAGGAGAACATCTGACTGGGACATACTTTGCTGGCAACGGCAGAACACAGAGTATCAATGCATGCGCAAAGGGCACTTTCATGGCAGGGCAGGGCAGGAGGACGGAATGCTTGAAGTTAGGTATTTTATCTCGTTCCGCAGTGAACGTTGCCACCGCACAGCTTCATAAAATCGAGACCCAGTATTCCGCCACGTGTGGCATGAGGTAGAACTGCGGATTCTGCGTTAAATACATGGCCACCCAAGCTAACATCTACACGGCGCACACCAACAGGATATAGGAGCTCACCACTCACTCCAAAAAACGTATATGTACGGTCCCAGCAGAACATCACGTTTCGACCAGGCAGGCGTTTGAAAGCGAGACTCATCAGTGAGTTTGTTGCTCCTGTGTCCACTAAGGCCATAGCTGAAACACTGTCTACACGCATACACGCCTCATTTCTAAACACATGAATTTATGGCGGTTTCTCTGATGAAATCTTGAGGTGTCCAGCGACTTCACCTCCAACGGCCTCGTCTACCTAGTTCACCGGAAGGTGTGACGGTGAGGGATAACGGTGCTTTGGAGACGGTGACCGGCTTCCGCGAGGAGCAAGCTGTGGTGTCAAGCTGCGGTCGAAGCCCAGAGAGGAGTTAACGCAGCGTCCCTGGTCGGTGGTTGTCCGAGCTTTCCTTTCACATGTAGCTACTTGATGCATGATGTCGATCAGATGTCGTCGATTGATTGCACTTCGGTGGCTGGTGACGATGACCTCACAAGGTGACCCTCCACGCCACAGCAGTAGCACATGGGCGAAGGAGTTCATAGAAACGCTCTTCAGAAAAGTCAGTCGTGAAGGGTCTTCTCAGTGAATGCTGAGGCTCAGCAGTCTGGGCGTAAGCTGTCTGTCATTGTGTGCCACGGCCGAAGCATTACCAACACGTGGACGAAGCATTACCAACACGTGTTGGTAATGCTTCGTCCACGTTACTAGATCTTGTGTTCATGCATCGCACTATTCTTGATTGCTGTGTTTGTGTTGAACCAGGCTTATCTGATCACGACATGGTCACAGTTTCTTTTCCCTTGCATTGTAATCGCTCCAATAGCCCACCTAACTCTAAACAGGTCAAAAATTTTTCCCGTGCTAACGATACGAGCATCCAAGATTATCTTGAATGTGAATTGGTGAATTTTGATGGCGACGACGCTGCTGTTCTCTGGGATAAGTTTAAGAAACTATGCTTCCACTGCATTGAACGGTTTGTACCAAACAAAACGAAAAAACCCCCAAAGTTCACACCATGGATCACAAGGCCAATAATACAAATGAAGCGTAAAGCCAAGCGTTATCGGAAAAAAGGTGCTCCCGCTAACATTCTCAGGGAAATTCGTAACTCCCTCTCCGAAGCTATTAAAAGTGCCAAGAATTTTTATTTTACTGTCAAGTTGCAAAACTTCATCAAAGAGGACCCTAAAAAATTCTGGTATTTTATTAGGGACCGTAAAAGCTCTGTAAATCGAATCAAGTTTAACGGCACTATAATTGACAATCCCCAAACTATCGCGAAAAATTTCAACGACTATTTTCATAGTGTTTTTTCAACTTCTACCCTGCCTGTCTCAATTACCATTGACGCTTCTGATTCAGATCCTAACCTCATTTCTTTCGATGGCGTCCTAAATTTACTGCTGCGATTAAAAGTTAAATCAACCCCTGGACCAGACAACATACCCAATGCATTTCTCCGGCGATATGCCGAAATATTGGCCAAGTACATTGTTGTGATCTTCCGAGCCTCAATAAATTCAGCAACCTTACCCATCGATTGAAAATTGGCACGTGTTCTGCCCTTTGTGAAAAAGGGGGACCCAGAGTGCATACCAAACTACCGTCCCATTTCTATGACTTCCGCATGTTGCAAAATGCTAGAACATATAATTGCCACTCGTATAAACAGCTTCTTAGATGATAACCACATTTTATCTCCCTTTCAGCATGGATTTAGAAAACGGTTTTCCACAGTCACCCAGTTGGTCTCAGTTATTCATCACATTGCTTCTATTTTAGACAAAGCTGCTCAGGTCGATGTACTGTTTTTAGATTTCAGTAAAGCATTCGACCGTGTTCCCCATAACAAGCTCATCGAGAAATTGCAGACTATAGGGCTTCCAAACTACCTAGTATCCTGGGTGTCTGCTTACCTGAACGGCCGGAAACAGTATGTCGACGTCTGTGGACAGACATCACCTCATCTCCCAGTAGATTCCGGCGTACCGCAGGGTAGTGTTCTAGGTCCGCTGCTGTTTATAATTTATTGCAATGATATTGTTAATGCTATTACTGATCCGGTTAAAATAAGACTTTTTGCAGACGACTGCATTATTTTCACAGATGTACAATCGCCAGATGACCAGGTTGCTCTCGACACTGCCCTTAACAATATTCTTTCGTGGTGTAACAAATGGGGCATGGTGCTCAATTTCGATAAATCTGTTTGCCTTCGAATTACTAACAAGAAAAATCCCCTTCAGTTTTCCTATTCCTCCAAAAGCCAACCCTTAAAAGAAGTCAGTCAATACAAATACCTAGGTATAACGATAACGAATAAGTTGTCCTGGAATGCACACATTGCCGATGTTTCGTCATCGGCTTTCCGTAAACTGTGTCTTTTAAGGCACAAACTCAGAGACGCCCCGTCGCAAGTGAAACTATTAGCTTATAACACTTTAATACGTCCAAAGCTTGAATACGCTTGTACTGTATGGGATCCGCATACTAAGTCTAACATATATTCCCTTGAAAAGATTCAAAGACGAGCAGTGCGTTTTATTTATTCAAAGTATGGTCGTGGTACATCAGTTACGGAACTAATGCGAGATAACGAAATCCAGACGCTACAATCGCGGCGCCAGCTTCTCCGTCTAAAATTCTTGAACTCACTAATTAACAATAAACTAGGGCTAGACCCATCACATTACGTTACCCCAGTTTCGACCAGGCAAACTCGTCATTCTCATGTCCGATCCTTAACTCCGTATTTTGCGCGGACAGATTTATTTAAGTTTTCCTTTTTTCCGAGAACTGTAACAGAATGGAATAACTTGCCTTCTGATTTCCTCCAAACCTTCGATCTTGATGAACCCAATGTTTAATTCTGTGAATCTTGACCCCCCCCCCCCCCTCCCAATATTGCTTGATTTTTTTTTGATGTTTCTCTTCTACTCGCTCTTCGCCTACACAGATGTATTTTAGTCAAGCTGTGTTACTCATGTACTGATCGCGTGCTTTCTTTGTTTTGATGTTTTTCTTCTACTCGCTCTCCTCTTACACAGATGTATTTTAGTGAAGCTGTGTCACTCATGTACTGATATTGTGTTTGTGTTTGTGCCCCTCCTGCTTGGGCCTTTCTGGCCTGCAGTATTTCACAAATAAATAAATAAATAAAGCGGTACCCCTAAGGCTGCTCAGATGCGAATGTGTCTCGATGCAGCCACATTTTTCTATTGAGTGAGATGTGCAACGCACACTAATGGTGGCAAAGTAGCACGTGGTGCTACATGCATCGAGTAGTGTGGAAAATAGGTGACCTCATGTCGCCGCAGTTCTTCACGCAAGATTTCCCAGCTTTTTGAAGCAAGGTTGGTGGGTGGACTCAGATAGACGCTGGCGACAGCTCTGACTTTTGCCAGTCACGCGAGTATGAGGACCATGGGACATGTCTTAATGTCTCAAAGGTACGTTAGTAGCACAGAACATTCGATTGATTGGTCAAATCTTCTCTACCTGTTAAGAAGTCATAAACAACTTCAGCGAGGCTCTTGAGATGATGTCTGGCCTTGTCTTCTTATGACATCACCGGGTTTCTAATCTTGCACCACTTGAGAACCTCCTTAATATGTGTGGTGCAATTTTCCCCTGAAGTCTGATGCCTTTTTGCAAATGTTTTTTCAGCTTGTTTCTTCTTGGTGTCTGAGGCACCAAAACATTTCTTGATATCTTCTTCAGGGAGGTCCAACGTTGTTAATGACTCTTTATAGTTTTCGTAGCACATGAGAGCTGTTTCCGCCAAACACAACGCTACATACTGAAGCCTGAAGTTGGAGTTGCAATTGTTGTAGTGGCTCACCTTGTCGTAATGATTGATCAACTTCTCCACATCTTTGCCTTCTCTTCCAGCGAACGAACGTTGTTTCATATTGTGGTGAATCGGTTTGTCTGGCATTGGTGTAGGCACTGTTGCAGCTGGTCCTGAGTCTTGTCCCTCGTTCCGCAGCGTGGTCAAAGTCGTCGTTGAGAGGCCGCCAAGGCGGCTCCGGAGTAGTTCAAGTGGTTGCGGCTTCGAGGTACGTCGACGTCGTCTACCCCGCAGCTCCACCACTGTCACGTTCACGAACAGGCTTTATTGAAACACGACGCAGTGGTAGCCCCAGCAGCCTTGAGTTCAAACCGAGGTTGTAGCGATCGCAAGGCACGTCCTCATCTTCTTTACTTCTCTCAGCATCAGACCCACAACACACAGGTGCACAAACTCAAACTATGATTGCAACAATAAAATTGCTCTTCCAATATAAGCTCGAAAAATTGTGCAGCTCCGTAGGTTCGCCTGCAAGCTTACAGATGCGTAGTGTGCCTTTCACTGATTTTCAAAAAGGAGAGTTGTGGCAGAATGGGTTCTGCACAATTATGCTGACAGCACGCATTCTAGGCCACTTTCATAAAGGTAAAAGTTACGCGCGAACATTCATTTTTTTTTTTTTTTGCGGAAAGGTTGACGCCTCCACCAAGAATCCAAGTGAGGCCAATAGTTTAGAAGGTGATGTGCGCGGCGCCCGGTCATGTGTTCAAGCATTCTCTCAGCCTTTTGATTCACTTTTTCAGCAACTACCTTTTTTTTCGTATGCAGGTGCGAGCTCGCTGTACCAGCTGCATGGGCCGGCTGCGTGAGCTCAAGAACTACGCGACGCCTCGGCGCCGTCGTTTTGCTGCTGTGGAAGCTGCTGCAGAGGGCTCTCCTCTCAAGCCGGAAGAATCCGATTCCGGATCGGATGACGATGACGATGATGCTGGCCTAGTCACCGGAGCCAATTCGTGAGCTTTTTCACTATGCAGCTACTAAGCACAATGTATTATATAAAGCGCACAGCAATAGATAATTTCATGTCTCAACTTCGAACATCACTGATATTTATTTTAATTGATGCTAATAGCTCACGGGTAATTATGTTCGTAACACTGTGTGAGGGGGATATAAAACAGTAATAATCAAGAACTGGAAAATTGTACAAAAAATGGTGGATGAAATATTAGAAAAAAAGAGATGATTAAAGAAGACAATGACAGGCATGGAATTAAGCCCAGCAAAACACGCTCAGGCAGTAAAAATACATGCATATATTTGCAAAAATATCACAGTTCAGTTATGTAGTAGACACAAAAATACAACCTAAATGTATGGAATGTTCAAAAGCGACTAATACTTGAAGTACTGCAGTAGGACTATGAATTTCTTTACTGAAGAACTTGAATGCGGAAAATCGATGAGGAAAAGATAACAGTGAGGTTATTTATAACAGTTGTGGGTTCGATCAAGTATTTTTGCAATGGCATCCGGGAGCCCGTTCCCCATTTCGATGTGTTCGCTCTGAGAAATTGTGAAGCACATTGAGACGGCTCGTACAGCAATGTGGTTTTGTAAGAGCCAGTGTAGTTTGACGGTTACTATATATATTGTCTTGTGTAGAAAGCAGATTACAACAATTTTCCTACGTGTTTGAAGATGTGGAAGTGATTGCTCAACTTTTGTTACAAGATAGTTGTTGTTATCATGAGCAATGAAGGAAGACGCATTATTCTGGATAGATTCAATACATTTTTTGAGGTAGTCCTTGGGGGGAGACCAGATGGCTCATGCATATTTGAGCTGAGGGCGTATGGATGTTAGGTAGGCGAACTTGTGAGTTCTTTCAGGTGTGGTGGTAAGATTACGCTTTAGGTAACCAAAAGTTTGTGATGCTTTTGCAGTTATTTTATCTTTGTGCGTTGAACGCGAAACGTTAGGTGTGAATTGAATGCCAAGATATTTGCGAAAAGTTGTATTTAAGGGAGTGTCATTCTTATGTGAATATGTAAATGTGTAAAAAAATAGCTTCCGCCTAAAATTATGGTTTTTAATTTGATGGTGTTCAAACTCACAAGCCATTGATTACACCAAAGTTTTGTATGGTTCAGGTCATATTGAAGTGCACCATGGTCATCGATTGCATCAAGTTTTTTTTATAGAGGACACAGTCCTCTGCTAACAATAGAACTTTCGATAATATAGAAGATGGCAGGTCATTAATTCAGGAAAAATTGAGATCTTTTTATAGACAACTATGATCATCATCGATGAAATGCAGCGGCCTGTGCAGGAGGGAAATATCACCGCAGGACTGTACTCGCAATCGCTGCTTAGGTCTGGTACAACGAAGCACCAGATGTTTCTTGACAGTGCCTCTGTCGCTACTGAGGGCTCTAATCGTTCACTGAGAGCCGTGGGCACGTTGCTGACCCGAGCCCACAAAATAAATTGAAGTGTCAAGGGCTGGGTAAATAAATCTAAAACTTTTTTATAAAAACCATACCTGCTCACTTTGTGCAGCCGCAACACAAACACCGCAATGGCAGCTGACTTGAGTCTTGGTACAATCAGCCAAGTGAATAAATGCATCACCACATGCAGAGAGACATTGCTATTGTTCCCGTAGCTGCCTTCGAGAACTGGCTATTACTCACAGCGCCAATGTAACGTAAAATACCTCCACCATGCATATTTGCTACAATGTTCAGCGAGACACCCAATTTTTTTCAGGACAATACAGACAAATTCACGATTGTCTCCCACGTTGTTTTCATAAATGGCTTACTCACACTTCACGCTCACATGCGTAGCGCTGAAAACCAAATTTAGGCGACAAGCTAATGCTTTTGCAAACTTCGCCAAAGCAGCGATGTTTGGTGGCTCGTTGTATAACTTCCAAATACACCAGCACTTTGGGAGGTCCTGCTTTCTGGCAACAAAAAACTTCAGCATTTTCCCTAAAGTTCACCAATTAGGGCGTATATAACAAGATGAATATACGTTGTGCTATTCTCTTTGCCGCTTGTCGGACATGTTAGGACTCTGTCATGGCCTTGTACAAAAGTAACACAATTTCGCAGTTCGATATCAATTGTTCCGTGGACGATTTTGCACAAAAGCAGAGCTCATTTTCAGCGGTCTCTGCAGACCCACACACTATACAAAAGCAACCAGAAAAGAAAGCAAACCAGTTGTCCTATAGCGTGCGCTCTTCAGAAAAAAATAGAAGAAAATCCTTTTCTGGGCTATTTTGTACTACCTTCCTGTTGAGATAAACATTTCCCTTTACACTAACTAAGTTTTGGAACGTAGAAGCGCTGTAGTTATTTAACCTGCTTAAGCTTTTAGAAAACGTTGTCATAGTAACTTATCACTGCCTTTACGAAGCTTCTTTGGTGATTTCTGTGAGTAAGTTCTTATTTTAAGATTTATTGTGGCTCAGGTAGTAGTAATTTTTGAAACTCTCCATAACTCAGTTTACGCTTCTATTTTCAGTAGTAAGCCAGAAAAAAAAAAGAGTGAAGGTGTGTGATTTCGCCATGACTCACTGAAGTTTCAACGCGATGAACGTGTAATGACGTGGTATTTATGACATATAGCGATATACACACGTACATAAACACACCTAAACAATGCATAATCAATAAAAACATCACTACTGAGAAATCACGACTGAGACGAGGAGCTCTTCCTTCTTATATTCTGTTATAGGACTGAAGCATCAGTGAGGCCTGAAACATCACTACTGAGACGAGGAGCTCTTCCTTCTTATGATCCGTTATAGTTTATGAGCCAGCAGCAGTTTCACGTCGGGTGTTCTGACCATGGTTGCCTTGGGCTAGTTAAAAAAAGGAACCAAAGCTCAAGGTATATGTAGTCAAAGTAGCCATGCCATTTAACCTGACCCCAAGTTTGAAGCAATATATAAATAAAGTGATATTACGAAATATTGAGATGTTCGTATTCAAAAAGAAATGTAATTCTCAATATACCCGCATTAGTGGTCTAGTGCCACGGTTCTCGATATCTCAATCGTAGGTCGCGGCATAGAAAACCCGACTAGATTGACTGTACTTTACATGGAAGCGGGAATACTTCAATCCCGAGTTCACAGTGGGCGACAAAGAACCCCAGCAGGTTGAAGTATCTAAAGTCCTCGACTATGGTGTGTCAAATAGTCACATTGTGCTTTTAGGACATTAAACGGCACAAATCATAATTTCGAATAAACAACAAGAACAATAATGAGTACAACACTGTTCCATTTTGTTTGGTCTCCAAACCGCAAGTAAGATGTACATAAAATAATAAATTTTTATACTTTAATTTTATATTTGTTTAGAAAACCAGGTCTACGATTGAAGTTCACTTTTGAATTGCCGCAAGATAATGTGATCCAGTACCTCGACCTGCAAATTTCTTTTCAGCATTCCCATATCTGCTGGATGTATATTTTCCGTTCCTTTAAAGGTCTGCTCAATTTGAATTCTTCACATTGTAAACTTGTGAAAAACGGCAGTGGTTTGTTTTGTATACGTTGCACCGTCAGTAGGTCATCTGAGCATTCCATGCAACAGAGTGTTTAGAAATAGGTATATATGTTGAGTAGTGCAGGGTAACCAAATGCAGTGATTTCTTCGCGGCTCAGAGAGCTTTTGAGATTACCAAGCTGGAATGGAAAAGCAAACAAAAGAATATGTTACTCAAAAAACGGCCTTTTGTGATTATTCCTTATTTTCACGAATTTTCGCATCGCTTGAACAAAGTGGCCACTTGACACGAAGATGACGTCGTTTTTTCTCCAAAAACTAATTAGGCAGTATTTGTCCTGCCTAAAGAGACGCCTTGGCTCTGAGGATTGTGGTAAAAGCAATCAATGCAATGTAATTCACGGCTCGTAGTTTGTGTCCTGTAAACAAGGGGTTGCGTATTGCACTCCCTCCATTTGTGGGTGGTGTTACGTTGTTCAGTCGGAACGTTGCCTGAATGTTGGACTAAGAGAGCTAGGATAGACTAAGAGAGCATCCTAGCTCTCTTGGGGGGGGGGGGGGGGGGCAGCCTACTCGCACCTTGCGATGTGTTGCCATGACTGCGGATGCGAAAAGTTTTTCTGTGACACTTCTGTAATTTTCAACCATGTTAACAAATTAACAAGACAAATAAATAGTCGATGCCTTTGTGATAAAAGAGAAAGGTGATGTGTGTGTAAGCCAGCCTTCAATTAGCTGGCTTGACGGTGAATGTAGTCTGCTGCATGAGTATGTCGTCTTATCTTAGTGATTTTCTGTGGTGGTATATAAGGGAGGGGGGCTTTTTTGAAGCAGTATGCACAATTTTCCCCGCAATCGTGCTATCCAAAAAGAGTCCACCTTTTTTCCTTCGTTTTTTTCAATAAATAACAGTTTCAAGTTAGCGCTCATCGTGTGTACTCTTCTGTGTGGTCGTTGTTTTTTGCGCTTCCAATTTAGTTTTTTAATGTCGTACAAACTCGCCCAATATTCCGTTCTTCTATACTCTCAGCGCCAACACGTGCAGTTTGTCAACAGATTCACTACAATAAAGGTGATGTTGGGCCAACACGTAAATAAAAACCACAAACTTGATAAAAACCACAAACGTAAATGCTTTTTTCTTTTTTGTCATGTAGCTGCCGACGTATGAAATCAGTACTAAGCTGCGATAATACCAGTTAACCTTAAGTACCATTATCTGTTGAAGATATACAGTCCAGCTTCATTTAGTTACAGATATCTTATATACCCACTGTGTTTGAAGCCTACAATTCGGCGTTAATATTTTGATATATAGCCACGGGTTTCTTCAAATCAGATGCTCGTTGGGTGCACACTGTGTAGCTCTCTGGCGGGGTGGATAAGCGTGCGCATAGGCTGACGCCACACCAAAGGGTTGAAATAATATTTATTCTTTACACTTGCTTGCTGTTTTGTCATCAATCGATACGGAGAGG